CTTTTTCTGATACTTAACATGGGAGATTAGGTTATTGATTTGAGATCTTTTTTAACATAGGTGTTTACAGCTATAAATTTTCCTCTAAGTACTGCTATGGCTGCATCCCATGTTTTGATGTGTTGTATTTTTATTTTTATTTACCTCAAAGTTTTTTCTTATTTTATTTGTGGTTTTTTTCTTGATCAGTTATTTAGAAGTATGTTAATTTCCGCATATTTTTGAAATCCCCAAATTTCTTTCTGTGTCTGATTCCTAATTTCATTCCACTGTGATGAGTGAACATACTTTGTATGATTTCAGTCCTTGTAAATATATTAAGGCTTGTTTTATGACCTACCATTTGGTCCCTCCTGGAGAATGTTTCATGTACACTCGAGAAGAATGAGTATTCTGCTGTTATTGGGTGGAATGTTCTATAGACAGCTGTTAGGTCTAGTTGGTGTATAATGCTGTTCAGGTCTTCTGTTTCCTTGCTGATCTTCTGTCTAGTTCTGTTCATTATTAAAAGTGTGGTATCAACATTTCAAACTATGATTGTTGAATTGCCTATTTCTCCTTTCAATTCTTTCAGTTTTTGCTTCATGTATTTTGGGGGCTCTGTTGTTGTCTTCCTAATGGATTGACTCTTTTGTCATCATAAAATGCTATTATTTGTCTCTAGTAACAATTTTTATCTTAAAGTCTATTTGGTGTGATGTTAGCATAGCCACCCCAGCTGTCTTTGGACAGTGTTCTCATTGCTCTTATGAAGGAGTCGATTTTCAAAGCCTTTGAGCTAACCATTCTGGAAAGTGGAATCTCTGACTACTTCTTACAGATGATTTTTCTGTTTTTAGGCCTGCTTTCTGCCCTATTTCCAAAGTTATCTCTTGGAGATGCAACACTACTTTTTGGTGCATTTAAAAATTTTTCTATATACTTCATTATGGTGGCTTCGTTGCTTCAATTCCTGCTTAGGCTCAGTTTTCTTGGGTCTGCTGTGTCATTTCCATGGGTCCTTTTGCTTCCTACCTTCCAAAATTTTGTAACTATTAACTCCTTTTCTATTTTCTTTGTCCTTTATCACTTAAAAAGTGTCTTTACTCTTGGGGCACCTGGGTGGCTCAGTTGGTTAAGCATCTACTTTCAGCTCAGATCATGCTCCCAGGGTCCTGGGATTGAGCCCTGCATGGCTCAGCCCTCTCCCTGCTCAGCGGGGAGTCTGCTTCTCCCTCTCCTTCTGCCCCTCCCCCCATTTGTGTTCTCTCTCTCTCTTTCTCAAATAAATAAAATCATTTTTTTTAAATGTCTTTACATCAGTGGGCTTTCCAAGGGAACACAGTTCAGTGAGTGATTTAAATATTTAACCTGTTTTTGAGGATAGCTTTTGCTGTTAGCTGCTTTATTCTAAGTCAGCTGAATTTTCTTGTGTAATCTGCGGCATTTTTTTTTAATAAGAGGGTTTTTTTTTTTTTTACCATCAGGGATCCAGATACCTGGCAATATTCTACATGTAGTTCAAGATAGTGCTTATATTACCTTTGAAATTTAGGTGTGGAATTTGAACATCTTGGATTCAAAATAAGAACAGTCGGCTGCTTCCAAGCCTTCTCAGTACTTGATTTTCCTTAGAGGAGTGGCTCACAAATGACTGCCCCAGAATCACCCCGAGCACTTGTTAAAATACAGCTTGCCAGAATTTCTGCTGTAAGAGTGGGAGGTGAGGCCCCAGAATTTGCATTGTCAACAAGTTCCCAGGGGATGTTGTGCTTCCAGTCCTGGGACACGCTGAGAATCGCCCCCTCAGTTTGTGGAATAGAAAGGTGTCCCCCTTGGGGGTGGGGAGGACATTTAGGAAGCAGATGAGAACAGGGAGGGAGAGCAATAGGAGAATCGGGGAGAGAAGGATGTGCCCACTTTGCTCTTGGCCCCTTGCTCCCCACTCATGGACACTCTTCTGTTTTCCTCCTCTGTCTGCACTGATAAAACCATGATAAAATCTGCTTAGAGAAGAGGCTCTTGGCATGAGAATGTAATTGTATTCATGGGGAAAAAAAAGGAACCAAGTGATTATCCATGAAAAACCTTAATCTGAGGCCTGCAAATATATTTTTATGTGGAATTTTAAAGTGGCTGGGGGTGTATGCTGGGCTGAGAGAAGTCAGTCCTTGTGTACTTTTATGAGATGCACCAGGTTGAGTATTGTTAAGACAGCAGGATTCTAAGCAGTTCTGTTAGGCAGCCCCTTGTCTGCAGGTTTCAGTTCTTTGCTAGAGCCCCCTTTTTCCTTCTTGCAAGTCTGAGAAGGGAGGGACACTGTCTAAGCCATATAGGCAGAGGGTCAGACCTAGTGGCTGGTTTGGACCACAGGGAGGAGGAGCCCAGACTTAAGGCCAGTCCTCCAGGTTGTTTTCATGTAGCTATCCGGAGATTCTGCCATAATTGTCTCACATTCAGCCATGGTTTTTTGTTCTCAGAATGTTTTTCTGTAATATGGTTGCGAATATTGAGAAATAAAATTGCGGCTGCAGAAGATAGTATCCCAAAGGCTAGAGGTAGTTGGGAGAAAGCCAAGAGAAGTGAGAACTCCAAACCCTTGCCCCATGTGAAGCTGCCTTTCAGACACTTTTATTACGTAAAAGGCAACGCATGTGGATAATTCCTGCTGTCAACTCAGAAGTGAGGAGCTGGGAAGGAGGAAGCAGAGTCCGGGGAGATAGATGACCTGAGAAAGCAAGCTTTGGAGACTAGTTTACCCCTTCCTTGTCACCCCCTTTCCTAGGCCTGCTGTGGTGTTGTGTTTTTAATCTATGAAAAGATGGTTTTAGATAAGTCCCAAAGGTGCTTCTATCTTTGGTATTCTTTGATTTTCCCAAGATTGCCTCTTATATCTTTTGGGCAGCCAGGGTAAGAAACCCTGTCTCTTGACTTCTAAGACAGAGCTCAGAGTACATAGAAGATTCAGTGTTCCTAAACCTTGTGGTCCCAGAGGCTCCATGTTATTTCCTGTTAGCGGTTTTCAATGGCTTTGGAGTAAAGTTCATTGCTATGACAGTCAGGCAGGCACACTGGGGAAAATATGATGTATTGTGTTGTGTAGGAAAAAGTCAGTGTTATCCAATCCAGTAATCAGATTTTCAGACAAAGGCATGACCCTGGAACATGCTATCTATGGCTGAGTACTGCATTCGTCTTGTCTCCAAAAACAGTTAAAAAAAAAAAAAATCAGTGTGTACTTGGCTTGTCTGTCTGTTTTGGATATGGAAATATATCTCGCCTGAAAAATTTTCTCATTCTTATTTTGGAGGCAGCTAAATTGCTCTGAAGGTATTGGTTGTAGCTGTAATTAATTTAGCATTTATTAAGCACTGACTGTGTGCCAGGCTCTGTGTGATGGAACAGAAATAGAAAGACTCTGTAGGGGAATATATCGGTCGGGGGAGAGGAGAGAAAGCCAAAAAAAAAAAAGGCCAATATTTATTCATCCCGCCTTTTATTCCTCAGGGGTTGTTAGAGTATTTGCTATGTACCCATCTCTGTACCATGCTGGGGATACAAGAGTAAATACGACAGATGCATCCCTGTGGTCCCTCAAGTTTGGTTAACCTTATCATAGAGGGGGCCAGATCAGATGGGTGGGTGTATCCATGGAGGGCTTCCCAGAGGAGGTGACCTGGGAACTAAAGCCGAGTAGAAACAGGTACCAGCCAAGTGAGGCAAAGCCAGAAGGAACAGCTAAGCAATAGCCGGACAGAGGAAGTGCTTAGTTGGGAACAGAACAAGGATTTAAGGACGAACAGTAGGAAATGAAACTGTGAAGGTGGGCAAGGTTCAGCTCTTGAAAGATGTTTTATCTCTTGCTGAGGACTTTGGACTTCCACCTAAGGTGATGGGGAGACCACTTAAATATCTCATAATGGAGGAATGATTACAGGAAACTCCGGCTATTTAACAGAGCATAAAAGTGATATAACTGCATAGATATTCAGTACAAAAAAATTTTTAAAGCAGAATATAAAAATTGTGTGCTCACTGCAATTGCTGATAAGTAAGATATAATCACGACTATGTTAAAGCATGGGAGGATTTCTAAAAGTAGAGTCTATTATTTGCATTGTGAGATTCCTTAAGAATCTCTTTATGGTACCTTCTCAGCATTGATTCTCTACTATATGCCAAGAGGTCAAGACCAAATTTCTTCCCTCAGCCATCAAATATAGGGAGATGTCAAAACTTCAATGCAGTTTTTTAAAAGTTTGTGATTATGGGGCACCTGGGTGGCTCAGTCAGTTAAGCGTCTGCCTTCAGCTCAGGTCTTGATCTCGAGGTCCTGGGATCGAGTCCCTTCTCAGGCTCCCTTCTCAGCAGGGAGTCTGATTCTCCCTCTCTCTCTCTGCCTCTCCCTTCCTCGTGCTCTCTCTCTCAAGTAAGTAAATAAATAATTAAAAAAAGAAAAATGTGTGTGGTGTAAGGAAAGGAAGGGGAGAAATCGGAGTGGGAGACAAACCATGAGAGACTATGGACTCTGAAAAATAAACTGAGGGTTCTGGGGGGGGTGGGGGGATGGGGGGATGGGTTAGCCTGGTGATGGGTATTAAAGAGGGCACGTTCTGCATGGAGCACTGGGTGTTATACACAAACAATGACTCATGGAACACTACATCAAAAACTAATGATGTAATATATGGTGATTAACATAACATTAATAAAATTTAAAAATAAATAAAGTGTGTGATTATGAAACGTCCAGAATGGGCAAATCCAGAGAAAGAAAATAGACTGGTGGTTGCCAAAGTATGGGGGCAGGAGTGACAGTGAACAAGTCCAAGGGTTCTTTTTGGGGTGATAGAAATGTTCTAGAATTAGTTAGTGGTGATGGTTGCACAACACTGGGAATATACTAAAAATCGCTGATTGTACACTTTGGTTAAAATGGTTATTTTTATGTTATGTGAATTTTATCTCAGTAAGGAATACCGGAAGCAAAAAGATGCTTTTTTTTTTTTTTTTTTTGATAGTAAAGGGCAACCGGAAGTGTGAGTTGAACTGCCAGGCAATGGGCTACCGCTTCTATGTCCGGCAAGCTGAGAAGGTCATTGATGGTACCCCCTGTGACCAGAATGGCACGGCCATCTGCGTGTCTGGGCAGTGCAAGGTAAGTGCCCTGGACTGGGTGTCTGTAGCACATTCTCTGGGTGATCGATCTAGAACTGCCCACTCCATTGTGTTTAGCCAGGCCATGGCCTCTTACCTCCCCACAGCCCACGGAGCACCGAACCATGAGCTCTGGGACAAGTGGGCTAAAATAGGGCGGGTTGGTCCTCTCTGTGTTTTTGATCTTAGAACATCTTCCACGGCGCAGTCTGACATTTCAAGTATTAAGTGGTTTATATTTCCACCATGTGCATCAAAGGGGACTCAATGATCATTCCTTACCTCTGAAGTGGAGATTATGAAAAAGGCCCGGCCGGATCCATCAAGAAACTGTTGGCATCACGAGGGCAAGGGTGGCGTTTTAAGGGCAGGGTGTATTTAATCTTGCCTCCCACCAGATGGGGCAGGCTTCCAAAGGAAAGTGGTTCAGTGCCTTTTATAGCAGATTTGTACCTTAAACAGGAAGAGTTTTTCGGCCTCTTTGGACTTGTGAAGTCTGTTCCAGGAACTCCCTGCCCCCCTATTCTGCAAACACTTGGGGCCTGAGAACATCTTTGTGGGGTGCTTACCTGTGCCAGAAAGAACTATTTGGTTAGCAGTAGGCACTTTAGATAGGCACAGATTCCATGGCCACATTAATTTGGGCCTGGACTGCCACCCTTCTTGCACCTCTAAATGTATGAGTGGAGCTGAGACCCCGGCAGGTGCATGACTCTTGGGAGCCCAGACTAAAACGCTGTCTTAATTAATGCCCAGTAGCTGGCAGTCTTGATTTTCAAAAAGGAAGAACTCTTGGTTATCACATTTGAAAGTTCCTGTTACACCCTTCTATGTCGTTGTTTAGCTGAAGAGCTACTGACGGGTGATGTATAAACACAGCTGTCCTGGACCGGACTTTTTTTTTTTTTTTTTTTTAATGAGGAGGTTTCAGATAGGACTCAAAATGACTTATTCAGGCAGAACAGATGTTCTCAGATTTTCAATGAAAGTGAAGACAGGAGCAGCTGTCCTTGGTTATCTGATGGGTGGGAGGGGTCTTTGGAAGAGCAAAACTCCAAGAGAGGTAGGATGTGGCGTGGAAGAGGCAGGGGAGCGTGATGGGAAGTACAGTGGGGGCTCAGACCTGTCTGGCCCCCATTTTCCACCCGATCGGGGGAACCACGGAGTTCCACATGCCCTCTCTGTGCCTCGCTGACCTCAGATCATACCCAAGAGGGTTCTGTTAGAGGTTTTGATCTCCGGCTCACGTGGTCTCTGCTTCTAAATGTGACTGAGCCTGCAATGGTGGGCCTTACAGCAACCTAGCTTTTTCTTCAGGCCCTGAATCAGAGCTGTTTCATTTCCTGAGTACAGTTGCACACCGCCAGGAGCGGGTGGAGTGTAATGGTTAAAAATATGCCTTTGAAAGTCAGACCACCTGGATTCAAATCGTGCCTCGTCCACTGTGTGATTTTCTGTGTGATCTTGTGCAGCTTAGATAAGCACTTTGTGCCTCCAACACATGAGGAGGGCAGTATCTACCTCCTGGTCTGGCATTTAGTAAGCATGCTGACATATATTAGTATTAATACGTTGTTTATGTCCACATATGTCCTGTCGTATTTGAGTTTCCTATGCAAAAGCATCTTCTTTGTTGGTAGATTACAGATTTGTGAGACTCACATTGTCTTTTGTGAGAACACTGTAGGGTGAAATACCAGGGGATTGCAGATGCTAATTCGGCCGGTCTGGGGAAGGTCCTGAGAGTCTGCTTTTCCAGCAAGCTCCCAAGTGATGCTGATGCCGCTGGTTCTCAAGTAGCAAAGGTTCTAAAGGATACATTGATGAAACTACAGTTAACTGAGACTCAGAAATGTACATGTAGAGTGGTGTCATGACTTGGAAGGAAGATGAAATGTGGGCTCCTTCCGCTGGAGGAATGTGTTTTCCTAGTGTTGCATTGAGTGTCTGTGACCTGATGATATGGAAGAAAAACAAGCACTTCTAAGGACGTGGGTATGGATTCTTACGAATTGTCAAAAACCATTCAGACTATAGGGCAGCACGGTTTGCAGATGATAATTGCTAAAAGATCGGGACAAAATTCCCCAGGATGTGAGTAGATTAATAGGAATTTGATGTTACAAGGGCTGCTTTGATATCACTATGTATTTGTTCTCTGTGCTCTTGCCTGAAATTATCCTCCCTGAAGTTGTTGGAATCACTGACTATCCCGTCCTCTCTAGAACTTCAGTTCAGAGTAATCAGAAGTACATTTGCTTCCCAGGCCCAAGTTCTGTTTCCTTTGCAACTTTCAAAGGGTACAGTGTCCTTTTCTGAATATTTGATTGGAAGCCCAGAATTCAAATTGATATCTCTGCCTTGCTGACTTGTGGCTGAGAGAGCTGTCACTCGCGGACATCTGAAATGGCTCCAGAAAGCCTCTGCTGGCCACATAAAGTCCAAATGCAAACCCAGGTCTACAACAAAAGGTAATGAAAGGCAACGAGCATCAAATAAGAATACGAGCTCAACCCACAAAAGAGTAACTAAGAGAGAAGGGTGCCGTCCCCCTTGACACCAAGCCAAAGAAAGGCCCCAGACCCACCCCGGGCAAGCTGGAATGCTCTGTTCCTGGGCTGGCAGAGCACCCTCTGGCCAGCCTGCATTTACCCTGTTGCTGGAAATCCTCTGTGCTTTAGATCCAAGAGTTGGAAGAGGGGCAGGAAGAATGCAGACGTCCTAGGGCTGCCTTTGTGAGGGGCTGCAGGCTGGAGAAAATGGGGGTCTCCCTCTACAGTCCTTCAGTGCTGGGTTAGACTTCCTTTTCTTGACAGGGACTGAAGGGTCCCAAAAGTTGTCTTCAGGCTCAGGACTGCATATGGATAAGCTTTGAGGGGAAAGAACTACCTTTTCCTCAAGCAAAAGAATGTATCTGGAGCCCACAGAGACCCTCCCTTCCTCAACTCGACCCCTTCCCTGTAGACATCAAATAGGAATGTCTGGCCAGTCTTCAGAGACGTCTCTGAGACACTTATAGCCCTGCCCAATCATTGTTGTCATTTATGGGAACAAAATAGCATTTATATCTAATTAACAGAGAATGCAGTAATAATGTCTATCATTAAGCACCACATTAACTGTCCTGTGATTTTTTTTTTTTGCTTGATCTCAACTCTGTCTAAATAACTCTGGATTTTAATTGTTTGATGACACATGTATTATTTTTGCTCACCACTTAATAAACCTAGATGAAAGTTTCTCTTTGGTGGCATAGCAGGCTTTTGAAAGAACGGGGTCACTTGGGTAAAGGACAAGGAAGAGAAAAATACTCTCAACTCCCTGGAGACCAGCCTTACAGAAACCTCAGACTTCTAGACTTGAATGATCCTGAAAGTGAGAGCCACCCCCAAGACCCACCCCCCTCCCCCCCAAACAGGCCCGCGGGGCTATGCGTCCACGAGAATGTACATGCTGTCCCCTCAGCCTCGAGTGCTAATCTGTGTCCGTCCTTGGCCCACATGGTGGCCTCGGCTCAAAAGCCACTGGCTGACTCCCTTGAGCACAGTATTTATTCTTCCGTTCCCACCGCCCCCACCCACCACCCAGCAAGCTAGGAGCAGTTCCAGGCACTTTGCTTTAGCAAAATGCCTACCATTGAATAGGTGCTTAAAATAAATGTGTAAATGAATTGAGGTCTCGGTGACTCAGTCTGTTGGATTTCAGCAAATGAAATTAGTCTTGAAACCAGCACAGAGCTTTCTCATTTTTGGCTGGGATGGGCAATTGAGTGCAGAAAAAACAAGGACACAAAGCCCCCTTGGCCACATCCCCAGAACCCGAGGCCTCAGAGGTCAGGGAAAATTCTTGGCATCTGCCAAGCTCTCGATCCTTCGTCTCGTTTTATTTCGCCCACTCTGAATTTCTTGAGTCCCTTTAGAGCTAAGGCAGGAAGAACCTAAACAAGTGTGACAGCACGTATTCCAATGGTGCCTTCCTTCTGTGGAGGGAGAAGAAGACCTTCTGCCCTTGAACTGCCTCCGCCTCTCATCCCTGGTCGGTCTTCGCCTTCATGTGGGGCGACTCTTGGGGCGACCATGGGCCCACACTCAGCGGGGGGCCTTTGCACCTCCCTTCCCAGCTGGGACACTGCTTGCCTTCAATCTGGACACATCCACAGACACTTTCAGATTTATTCAGTAAATTAAAGCAAGGTAACTGTTTCCAAATGTTCAGAGATAAGCTCTGGGCCAGCGTGCTGCCCTGATGGAGAAGGATGACATGATGGGTGTATGCATATGGGTGAGTGTCCCTGCGTGCGTTCAGGCCCAAATTCCCGTCATTCTCCTGTGTAACCCACTATTGCGCTTTCCTGAGCCAAATGGGTAGACCCTGCTCACTTCTCTGCCTGTTTGCCCGAAGTTGCTTCTTTTATTTTCCTTTTGGTTACTGGCTTTATTTTGTGGACTTTGCTTAGAGTTCTGTTGCCACTTGAGTGAAACCAAGAGGATAATTGTATTGGGTGAAATGTTCTCCCCTTTGCCAGACATCTGCATGATTCAGCCTTGAAAGAGGGTAGAGAGCTTTTACTTTGCTTGAATTCTGAGCTTAAGTGACACTCTGTGGACTCCCTCTCGTATTCCCACCCCCAGCAAACTTGTGTTCTAAAAGGACTTTCTGCTTGTGACTATAAAATGCTTATCATATCATGTGATAGTTATTTTGACACGTGTCTGAACTCCTGTATAGGAGAGGGAATTAGTGCCGTGCGTGTCTGTATCTTCGGTGCTTAATTAACATGTTAAGATTATTCTGTAAATATTCTTAAAATGTATGAAAGAATGAGTACAAGAACAAGTTAGAAACTGGCTGTGTAACCTCCTTTCCTACAAATAATCAAGAATAGGATTAAAGAAGCATTGAAATGTTAGATCCCAGGCCCTGTTCTCAGGACCTCTTGACATCTAAAACTGACACCTAAAGAAAAGCTGATGAAATTTCTTGCCCTTTTATGTGCACTTC